TGATCTTGTCATGATGAAAGCGCAGGGCCAGGCAAAGTTGAATAGATTGTACGAAATTATTGACAAACGTGGAGAATCACAGTGGTTAGGCCAACAAAAAAAATAAGTCGGTCTCTGGTCAGCGCGCGCGTCGATTTTAATCATGCGCGTCAATCTTTTTTTTCCCCAAAATGTTCCGCGGTAGCTTCAACAGCGCCCTCTATTGCCGCATCTCCTCTTTTTTTTTTATTACCAAAGAGCCCCAAGGAATGGGAATTGCACCAAGGCAAATGATCGAAAGCACCAAGGCAAATTATGGAGGACACCAATGTACATGAGGACACCAAAAAAGCAAAATAGTACCCCACCTTGTCTGTACAATCCAAGCTTGAAGGGAAAAAAAAAGCCACAAAAAATAAAAAGCCGCGTCGCTGCGTCAATTCCGGAACTTTGGTCTGACCAGAGACCGAATATTTTTTTTTTGGCCTTAACCAAGGATTTTATTTGCATTACAATTGGTTTTTTTTTTTGGCCTTAACCAAGGATTTTATTTGCATTACAATTGATGTTTTACAGTTAAGTTGGAGAATAGACTCGGAACTGTAGATTCGTCCTTGATTGACTCGGCGAATATACAGTTTCTCATCTGTTCTCCTTGACGTGGCCTACAATGTACATTCTCTCTGCACTGCACCCTGCTGCACAGTGCGATCACGTTAATTGAACTGGTCATGCTGGTTAACCATCATTACCCACCGGTCGGAGGACGGGATTAACTCAGCACAAGGTTTTAAAGAAACAAGTTAACCAGTGGAAACTGCAGTGTAGGTGTACTGCACTTGTATACACGCAGACATGGCTGTCCGAAAGTCAGCAACAGTCAGTCAAAACGCCATCACGCTGTCCTGCACTGCTTTTGTGATTTTCACATTAGTTACATCAGCCTACTACTTCAATCCTCTGCAGACATCGACAGTAAGGAAGCAACCGTTGCCAGTGCAAGTGCAACCCAAACGGAGTGAATTGCAGCCAAGACGGGAGAGGCAGGTCAGCTTTGCCAGGAAAACAAACTCTGAAAACATTCTTCGTATTTTCACGGGACGCTGGGAATATCTCCGTATTAATTTTGCTTACATCTATCGCAACTTGAGGAAGAATGGCGGAGTCCTGGACAAGGTGGTCTACTACATGATGAAATACAATCACCAAACCCTCTCGAAACTGACCGAGTTGACTAAAACCGCCAATACAGTTCTGGGAGAGGAGGTTTTTGAGCTCCGATTTCGCAATCACAACAGGAACACGGCGACTCGTCCTAAGGGCGTATTTGGCGGATTTGTGTACGAGAGTTTTGATGAGATGGCGAGGCACCCAGAGAGAAAGTACTTCAAGATGGACGACGACATCGTGTACATCCACCCTGGAACCTTCAGGCAGCTTATTGAGCAGCAGAACACCTCCGAGTGCTTCATTCATTTCGGCAACATCGGAGGCGGTAACTGGCGATGTAGCTATATCCACCAAGAGATGGGTATCTATGACAACGAGGCTATCAACCCAAAGAAGCTCAAATTTCAGTTCAGCCTTGACGGTCTCCCAAAGTGCGGCTGGAAATCTGCAGAATGTGCTGTGATGGCAATGAAGGCATTCTTCTATCACTACCAGAACAAATCACTGGAGAAATTACTATTTGACGGACGGTACCTGACCCCTGAAAGAGCTCGCTTCAGCATCAACTTCTTTTTACTGGATTCAAACCTCATTGACATTCAAGCCATGTTGGAAAGTGGACCAATTGGTGCAGACGATGAACATTGGTTAACAGTCATCTACTCCGGCAAAGTCAAGAATCCCAACTGCGTTGTAGGAAGGGCCTTTGTCGTACATTTTTCGTACTTCACTACCATGCGGGAGATTACTAAACAAGGCTTTCTGCCAAGGTTTGAGATGATTGCACGTGATCTCGTAGAAGCTCTTCCTGAAGCACTTCAAGACATACTTGCGTTTAATAAAACACTTGGATCTTGAAAACCCTGACAGTTATGTCGCGCTGTAAATCGTTCGTTAGCCAAATTATAGTATAATGATTGGTTATCGGTAAAATTGCACTGCGTACATTAAGTGCCTTGTACATGCGATTCGTTGTGCAATAAGAATTTTCTAAAATGTGTAACTTTTGACACTCACTTTTTTCTGTGTAACTTCTCAAAATTTAGGGTGGAAATGAAGACTTTACAATCCTGTTATGACACAGTGATGAATAAAATGCATTAAACAAAACAACCGAAGTGGAAGTTTTTCCTATAAGCCAAGTATTCATCATACAATCTGGATTGTTATAGTGCATCTCGGGGAACTAGCTGTTCAACCAGTTTTTATCTTGTGTCCCATCGAGCTCAAGGTAGCCCCAATAAGTGTGGCGTAAATATATACTAGACTTCCCCACACATGTATTAGGAGCCACACACCGGCGATAGTAGCAATCGAAACTGTTTTATTAAATTTTACAATGGACGCGACGATACACTTTCTGCTTAATAACAAGGGAAGATCAACATTAATTTATAAAGGACAAAGGTAGATGTTCCTTGAACTCGAGAAAAATACTGCGAGCAATTTTTGATTAACCGAATTAGTTGTATGTGGCGCTGTATGCCAGAAGCTAAAAAAATAAAATGTTTGGAAATAAGTCAGTTTATCAACACGCTCCTTTCATCTTAGCTAAACATTGGTATTTAAGTTTCAAATAAATGTGACAAAAATCTAACCACATCCTGGCAAACTCATTCATTCTACATCCGATGTGAAAGAAATATGTAATACTTAAGTTCCGCAAACAAGTTTTTTTTCTCTCAATTTGTATAGTTCTCCGATTTTTGTCCCCTTTCTAATGTACCAATTAACTAATATTGTAATAATTATATCATACAGCATTTATATAATGTGAATCAATGATTCCTCAAAGCGCTGAACAATAGAACAAAAGCAATTAAAATACATCTGGGGTCGGATCTGGTCGGTTTGTCCGTCATTTTAACGGGTCGGTCGGTTTAGGTTTTGCGTTTGCGATTTTTGGGTCGGGTCGGGTCGGGTTAGCCATTATTTTTGGAAAAACCCGAAATAAACCGAAATAAACCGAAACCGAATAGAAATTCACATGGTGCACTATTTAGTGCAGAGTCACTGCGCGCGGTGCGATTAAAAATGGTTTGCGGTCTGTCTCGATCGATCAATAACATGTTATCTTCAAGTAAACTTGAATCCTTGATCCTGATTGGTCAATCCATGGCAACAAGCCGTGCTACATCATAGAGCTATATTAAATTACTAGAGCGCTAACTCGATGTACAAAGAGATGCCTGATGGGCATTTGTGCACAAACCTATGGAGAACTTCCGTGGAACACGGAATAATGTAGTGCGTCTGTGTCCCACATACCACGAGGTTCGGCCTCGTGGTATGTGGGACACAGACGCACTACATTATTCCGTGTTCCACTCGCGCTCGCGGGATAGGCCCACTGGCAGTAGGTCAAGTTGTGAGTGCCGTACGGCATGATTCAGTTTACTGGAGGCCGACATTTTTTCACGCGAACTGGGTAAGTTCAGGTGCAGAAAGTGGACACATTAGCCGAAGCCAGATACTCGGGTTTTTCGGGTCGGTTCGGCTCGGGTCGGTTTTCTTTGAATTGTTGCCGGGTAGGGTCGGATCGGTTTTAGAAAATAAATGTCTCGGGTCAGTTTGTTCTATTGTAATGATGCTTTCATTTCTGCTGCGTATTTCACTGCCTCTTGGGTTACAATAGTGCAGTGAAGATTGGGTCACTTTAACGGGCTAATTAGGCACTAATTAGTGTTCGGCCTATTTTTGTACCGCACATGTGGTCAAAAACTACGAGAGAATGTTACTGGGCACAATTAATTTTTGAATGGGCTTCATTTAAAGTTTTTGTGAAAGTTTAAGTTTGAAGCATTAAGATTTTTCTTGAGATGACATGAGTTGCTCGGAGAATTGATTTTTGTTAAGAAAGACTAAGTTGGCGTATTACATGTGCAGTTGTTAGTAAAAATTATACTCGCTTGTTAAGTAAACAATACGACCCCAATTTAGATCGTTCAGTCGCCAAGGGTTCATGGATTTGTTTTGTTTCATCTCCAAGGCCTTTTCATGACCGTAGACTTGAGTCAAGGCGTATGGCAACCCGGACACGAAAAAAAGACCATGCGAGTGGCAGGCTCGTTGGCTCCGTGCGCCGTCATCAGGGGCGTAATTTCCGGGGTGGGGGTGGGGTGGTGGTATATAAACCCACTCTTTTTGACTGCGGGGATGGGCTATTGAATCATTCCCCACTTTTTGTGATGAGCAAAAAATAAGGATTTTGAGGTATTTTCCGAACGTCCCATCAAAATATATTCAATAGCACTGGAAAGTGGAGAAACAAAGTACAAAAGCTTTTAAAAATGTAAGCGCGAGTATACATAATTGATAAAGAGCGTCCCAGTATAATGTGGTGTCCCCCCCCCCCCTCCCTTTTCGAATGTCCACGGCCGGGCAATTCGGGCGTTTCATGTGCCACCAAGAGTTTGCCAAGGAGAGTTCATTTTTACCTAGTGCATAGTGGGAGATGGTCGACAAATTCGCAGCGCGGGACCTTTGAAATTGTTAGTTTTTTTTCCCCGGTCAGTAGTTTCGAAAGCGTATGAATTCGAGTATAAATTTGCCTTTTTCTTTTCTTTGTATCAATATGGTGTTTTTAGTAAGGTGGCAGATCGCTATACCCGAATTTATAACCACTTAGCTTAAGTTTTTTAATAACACTCATTAAAATGAGTCTTGTTTTGTCGACCGTAATTTGAAAAACTGACTCTCCATGGCAAACTCTTGGTGGCGCACTGCATTGTGAATCGCCCGAATTGTATGATTTGGTCATCCCCCATCCCCCCCCCTAATAAAATAATAATAATAATACAAAGCATTTGTATGGCGCTCTACAACGATCACAGCGCCTCACAACAAACAGCTTAAACAGTTACTGAAAATTGCAAAGAAATCATATACACACACAAAAACAACTATTATGCATTGGGAAATAAGTGTGTTTTGAGTAGGCGCTTGAAGATCGCTGTAGACGCAGCTTCCCTGATGTCAACCGGTAGTTGATTCCACAATTTAGGGGCAACAACAGAGAATGAATTGTCACCCGCCTTCTTGTTGGAACGAGGAACAACCAGCCGGGTGACATCAGAAGAAGAGCGGAGTCTTCTGCGATCTTCAGATCCATTCAAGTTGTACAGGGTGAGGCTATCAGTGATATAACTTGGGGATTGACCATGGGAAGATTTATATATGTACAACATAATTTTGAACATGATCCTTTCTTTGACGGGGAGCCAGTGAAGTAAGCGGAGTAAGTGATCTGATGAGCTTTCTCTACCGCATGAAAATACAAGACGCACATCATCCCCCTACCACTCGCCGGCACAGATTTGGGCATCATCTAATGGGCATCATCCCCTTACCACTCGCCGGCACAGATTTACGCCACTGGCCGTCATTGCAGTCGCGTGGTCCCGATTCTAATCATGCCACTGGCTGACGTTAATGTGACATTGTATTATAATGGGCATCATTCCCTAGTACAAGAAAAGATGAAGTTTCCCAAGCTAGCTAAGGGAGCCGGATTAGAATCAGACAAACAAAATTCCCTCGTAAAAATGTGTAAACGGGTCAGTAGTTTGATATAAATATAATGAGGTAAGGGAAACTTGCTAGAATTTTTCTCAATCATAGCGACATGTCAGTGCCGGCCGAAAGACGCTCGACGCGCAACAATAATTGATGAGACAGAATAAGGACAAGCTTGGTAAGGTTAATTGCTCGCCGTGACTCTGAATAGTCAACTGCTCGGTACATAAGAATGATTGTAGAAAAGAGTTACGTAAGAGCATTCATGTGTACAACACGATGCTGATGCATCTTTCGTGCAGCTATGAAACACAAAGTAACTCTCCCACTGCCGAAATAAGGATTATGTTTTTAAACGCAAAGAGAAAAGCAACTACTGAAACAGCCTAGTTGTTAAGCTGTCTGACAGCGGACCCAGGGTTAGGGGTTCGAACCCGCTTGGTGTCATTTTTTGGTTTTCGATGCCCGCGGTTCTGTCATTTAAGAGTATTAATTTCCCGTCGTCATTTACCAACAGCAGTTAGCTCGGTCGGTCGGTAAGCTGACTCACAAGTTGGGACTGTCTGCGAAGTCCAGGTTGGCATCTGCGTATAGGTACGGGGTTCTTTTGCTGACTCGGCAGCAAGGCTTAGGGTGCCACCTCGTTTCCTCCCTTTATGGTGCCTGACTTTAGTTACATGGATGGACAGGGAAGGAGGTGTGGTGGGCCGGGTACCGAGTCCCGGAAGAGTTCTATATGGAAGTCGGTAAGGGGCTCATTGAGTTAGGGTCATAAGTCCGACTCCTGAAGACTTGGCCATCGCCACATAACTTTTTGTTTTATTTTCTTTCTTTTCTATCGGAGGACAATTGCAGAAATGATTCATTTGTTGTATTGAGAGCTTGTACTATAATCGTTCGAAAATAATTTTTTAAATTGCTCGAAATTGCCTGGGTTACTTTTACCCAAGAAAGGGTGAAAATTGGAACTACCCAAACTTGGGTTGTTCTATAACCAATTGTTTGGGTTAGAGTTTCTGCTCAATTCAACCAGAACTTGTGGTCATTCAGGACCAAATTTAATTTGGTCTTGTATGACTACAACTTTTGGTTGAATTTAACATAAATTCTAACCCAAACAATTAGTTTTCACCCTTTCTAGGGTAAAATTAACCCAGGCAGTTTTTCAGTGCAGTACCTTTGCGCATACCTTGTTCAGGCCTGTTCCCTGATCCCAGACTGCAGGGGGGGTGTCTTTAAGAGTCATTTCGTGTAAATACTTCATATAAGTGTCCACGCTCAAAAAAGAATTTTTTTATACTTTGTGGAATGAAAGGACTTTGGAAGCAAGTAACCAAAATAGACTTTTTAAACCGATATTTTGCCCGTTGCCTTGGTTACGGGCCATTATGTGTTTTGGCCATTTTGGGGCAATTTTGAGGATGCAAAAATTCATTTTTTGCGTTATTTTCAAAGGTCATCAAGCCAAACTGCGAAGTAATGTCACAAAAGTAACTATATCATGACAAAGTATCATCCTTACCCTTACAAGAAAAAAATAGAAACTTTTCTGAAAAATCCGCTTTATATTATTTTTAGGCCCTATAATACAAAGCCAAGTTATTGGTGGGTGGTCACACCCCACCCTCAACCCCAAGCAATGCCCCGAGGTGGGGGAAGGGGAGGCTGTGGAAAGGAAGTCTATGTAATTTCTAAAGTGTTCACTTGCATAATATTTATTTACATTTGTTTCGTTATGCAACAGACAAGTTCAAAATTCGGTGGCACAGGGGGAGTGGGCGGGGTCTAGCCAGGGGTGGGGGGGGGGGGAGTACACGACCCACTATTCATCCACTGGTCTAAAAATGATACACGGTCTGATTCTGTTTGTGAAAATGTGCTAGATTCATGAACAATACCAATTATACAAGTTATTACTCAAAACAAAGGAAAACACTGAAAATACACTTTTTAAGGTTTTGGTGAAATTTAACATTTTTGGAGCGCTACTGCGCAAAGGATATACAATAACCCAAAATTTTCTCACCAGATATGAAAAGACCAATGTCTGAACTAACCATAGCCGAAGGGAAATTATTCTGAGTGCCCTGGCAAGTGCCATTTTGGAGGGATAAAAATGGGGTAAAAAATGCAATTTTGCTAGTTGTAAAGACATGTTGCATTATAGGGCCTGAAAATAATGTAAAGGAGATTTTTCAGAAGTGTTTCTATTTTTTTCTTGTAAGGGTAAGGATGATACTTTGTCGTGATATAGTTACTTTTGTGACATTACTTCGCAGTTTGGCTTGATGACCTTTGAAAATAACGCAAAAAATGAATTTTTGCATTCTCAAAATTGCCCAAAAATGGCCAAAACACATAATGGCCCGTAACCATGGCAACGGGCAAAATAAAAGTTTAAAAAGTCTATTTTGGTTACTTGCTCCCTAAGTCCTTTCATCCCACAAAGTTTTAAAAAATTCGATTTTTTGAGCGTGGACACTTTATGAAGTATTTACACGAAACGACTCTTAAATCCCAAGTCGTACATGTAACAGTCCAATTGAATTAACATCATGTTATGTGGCAAATTTACTAAAGCTCAAACTTAAAGGTTAAACCGTTTCCTCTATAAAATTAGTAATGCCTAGATACAAATATATGTAACCAAATTTCTATCGCAACTCACTCTGGCAAACTAATTCGTTCCACTTCCGATTTGAAAGAAATCTATAAGCCTCATCCAAGTTTAATTTGTTTTTCAACAGGTACGTTTCATTTACTATGCCTTATATATTTTTTGTGAAATCACTTCCGCAATGTGGTCTGTAGTCACGAGTCACATACCTGAAAAATGAATACAAATGTACAACAGGATGCTGACTATATTAATATAGTCCCATTGGCAATCAAGTGGCTATTGAGGGCGATATACAGGTGTGACGTAGGACCGTGTATATTTGTTTATTTGACCGTGTCAATGTTAGGTCTATAGGCCTGTGCCTTTTTTCGTCTTGTTTGCTTTCAACAATTAGCAGTTATTGAATAATTAAATGAAATGCCTGAGAAACTAAATCAAAAATGTAAAAGAAAAGTATTTGTAAATTTTGGTGTTTGTATTTTCTGGTTTTTTTTTGTTTTTTGTCCATCGGCACTTCTGACACATCTTTCACGTGAGCGGAACATATATGGACTGGGGAACATAGGGACTGGGGAACATAGGGACTGGGGAACATAGGGACTGGGGAACATAGGGACTGGGGAACATTTGTATGTATCATCATGTCCAATTACTGTTTCAAGAGGATATTCGACCCGGGGAAAATGCAGGCCTACCTTACATCCGCATACCAGATCCATGTAGCTCATCTGTGCTATATACCAGAAAGGAAACAACTGATATTTTGAGGAAAACATTCTTCTGTATTTTTCGAGGTCAATGAATGCTTACGTCTGCAGGGCAATGGTTACTAGTTCACCGGAACTGAGATTCTCCTTTAACCTGTCACTTTATAAGAATTCCTAATGCAGCGGTTAGCTCGCTGTAGTCAGATATTTGTCAGTGCACCATAAGGAGGATGGGATCAACGCTCATTCCATTGGACAAGACAATCATCAGTCTTCGCACAGACTTTCCATGTAAAGTGAAGTTGAATTTACAATCCTAAATTTAGAAAGCAGAAAACTACTGATGTGAGCAGTGTATAATAGTATACAACTATAATGTGAGCAGTATGCTATTGACAGTAACACGTCCATTTAATGTACAGTGTGAAACAACATCGCTAACAGGCTTTACTATTAACGGTCATTCCATGTCAGACCAACGCACTTTGTTACCTCATGTCTTCCGATTTTGATAAAAATTGCTGTGCTTGTAGATCCTGATGAGCAATGAATACACACCAATTTTTTTGCCCGATCAGACCTACCATGTGGTCAGGGCAGAAACCACAAAAAAATTGACATTTTAGATTAAAATACCACCCTTTTAGTCCAAACATGTCAAAACCATGTCAATTTTCATCAAATATATGCACATTTGGTATCAAAATAATGAGAATAGCATTTTGTGAAAAGTAGGTCACCATGACCTGTAATATGCGACTGTGACCTTTGACCCAATTTTTGTAACAATGTATCATTCCAAAAAGAAATGAAAATGCCTTGATAGAGCATGTCTATCAGAATCCACTAGAAAAAAAATGGTAATTTGTCATGTTGAGGGCTGATGAGGTCTAACCAGACTCTGACAAAAAGCTATTAGCAGTGGCGCACCAAGGATTTTGCTTGGGGGCGGGCTTCAGAGTCTTCAGAAGCCCTTTGAAGAACAAATCTTGAATGCTCAGCAGCTGTATTTATAAGGTGAATATTCCAGGAATACAGTTTGATTTTGTGGACACAAGTGAAATATAACAGCGCGGAGGAATTCCTTGAGAGTCGATTCTCATCAGCAGTGACTGTTCAGGGTATGCAACAGCTCTATGCTTTCTACCCGCACCCAGTACAGCGGACACACATCCAGGTGAAATTCATGTAGAAGGAACTCAATAAGTCTCTGTACTGATGACGTCACACTTAGTTTACATGTGCACTTTCCTATGGAGCCAGTGGGGGCCCACGGTCCACTGAGCACCATAGGAAAGCCCACACGTTAGAACAAAGTGTGACGTCATCAGTACACAGGCTAAATTCCAAGTTTGTGAAAGTTAGTAAATTTCAAGAAGCACGGTGAATACAGTCTTGAATGAGTAAGGTAATTTTGATTGCGATATTGAGTATTATCTTCAAGCAAAATTGAATCCTCGATCATGATCAGTCTATCCATAGCAACAACAGTGTGATATTTATATAATATTGCACGACTTTATTGCACCCCGCAAAATCGAATGTATGTATGTATTATGTGAAGTGTGTCGTGTGTTATTGGGCCATTGGTATTGGGACACAGACGCACAGCATTATTCTGTGTTCCAAGCGCGCTCGTGGGATAACTAATAATTAATGGCAGACCCAAGGGGGGGGGGGCGCCATGGCGGGCTTGAGCCCCCCCCCCTCCCCAGGAGGTTGTCAATTATTCAATATTTTTTTGTCACTTTGTGTTCGTCCCCATTTGATCGTGGTGTATGTGGCCTATTTTTCGAGGAGTATAATAGGGTGTAAAATGGCGCCACCAACATCAAAATAGTCCAGCCCCCCCCCAAAAAATTGTTTTCTACGGCCAAAAAATGTGTATGGGCAATGTTTAAAAAAAAAAATCAAACTTCTAAAAGTAAATGGAAAAGAAATGCGTGATCCCCCCCCCAAGCCAAAGCCCACGAATACAGCTGCCATAATATTCTTTTTTCGCAAAAGGAATCCTCAGTGTCATGCCAGTGGATTGTCTCGTTTCACGAGTCTGAATAAGTGGTTTAAACAGATTTGTCATATACAGAGGAGTAAGTTTGTTTAAACAAGAATAGCCTTTTTATACTCAACTCTTTCAGAAAATGACATCCAATTAAGTCTAGCAAACATATCGACTGATGATGTTAAGAATGCACACTTCAGGATTATCCGCGCTGCTCTTTTCAGACATTTATTAAGAATATTATTAGAACATATGTACCGCCCTCCCCATACAGTACTACAATAATCTAATGATGGCATAACTAAGCTAACAAAAAGAGAGTGCAGGCTGCTTTGGGGAATATAGTCGCGGATTCTATTTAGCATACCTAGTTTAGAGGAAACACATTTCTTCACGTATTCAACGTGTGGGCCCCAACTTAAAGTTTCAGCAATAATAACACCTAAACATTTACAAGAGTTCACCTTTACAACTGGTCTACCAGCAATACTGACTTTTAGCTCAATACTTCAGAGTTTTCGTCAAGTTCCAATAAGCATGGCTCTAGTTATGTATCACTTCACTGATAACTTTTTTTATCATTTTTCTTTGTGGCTCGATTAGGTGTTCTGAGAGACCTTACTAAATTCAAGTTACAAAAATGATGGATACCACAAAATATGTTCGGATTGAGCAACAGTCATTTGTACAGTCTCTCTGGTCAAAAACATATTTTGATCAATGGGCGGACAAACGCGAAACTTGACATGCATGTATACATGTTGGACATATAATTACTTGGCCAAAATATAAACAACGCAATATGTATGGGCAATTTTGCCCAATAGTTGAACGTGTATTTTATTCGTCCATCGTTGGTCGAATAGTCAACCCATTTTGCCTAACTTTTTTACATATGCACTCAGTGTATGATTAATCGTCAGGCAAAAGAAAAAGAGACGAATTAAACATAAGTGCTTATTTTTTTCTTATTTTTTCTACCAGTACTGGAGAATGAAAGCAAGCCGGCTTTGATAATAATGAAACACAATCTTTGTGTCATCTATGTGTACTAAGTTACGCGGTTCAGGACTTAATTCCTTGTGATTCAAAAGACATTTACCAGTGGATACCTCCCATACGGAAACCTGGTCTCTATACAAGTCAAGTGTGACAAGTCTCTTACCGTGGAATTTGTAACTATTCACTTTTGACTTGTGCTTGTTCAGGAGTGAGCCATCGCGGCTCCAGAAAACCAAGTCTTGTTTGTCTTCATACGGCGTGAATACGACGGCAGCAATACCCTGCTCGTTGAAAAGCACCCTTTGGATGACAAAACGGGGATTTGTTGACAGCGTTTTGATGCAAACATCAGATTCAGTTGTCCACACTCTAATCACTCCGACAGCATCACCAGTTAAGATAGTGTTTTCATCAAGACGACCACTACGAACCTGACCAGTGTGTCCCCTGTATACCCGTACATGCTGAGACGTTCGCGTATCCCACAGTATGAATGCAGTCTCATCTTCAAAGGAAGTGATTACCCAGTGCCCATGGCAAGCAAAACATTTCATGTGTTTCCCTATGGAAACATTTAAGCTATCTGTGCAAAGTTTGGTTTCTGTACATGCAACGTTATCTCCGACCTCGACCAAGCCACTGATATCCCAAATGTGCACAGGAATACCTTCATCGTTATCCGCCCTCTGGTAATGCCTGTATGATACAATGACTTTGTCTTCTTCCATGTACAGACCAGACGGCTTGTATCTATCAAAGTCACTCGCCGTACCCCGGATCAGTTTCAAAACATTGCCCGTGCTGGCTTCAAATACCAGAATACCTCCCATGAAAGCAGCCACCCCTATGTTATCCTTCATGGTCATAGCTTCTATCTCATTATAAGATGTTCGTGGTAAGGGGATATATTTGGAGGGTTGAATCTTCTGCAGAAATTGTCCACTTTTCAACTCCCAGAGTCCCACATACTCGGTAGTATCACCGGCCCCAAATATCGTGCCATCACTTGCTACACATCTTGTTGTCGCATTATTAAAGTCAGACCCTGAGTCGGACAACACAAGACTGTGCTCCTGGTAACGCCCCTCAGACCAGTTCCTGTCCAGATGCCAAGCTCTCATGTACACCTCCTTCCATTCACAGGTTGGTGCAAGATCCTTCAGGTTACAGTCGTCATTAATGACCGAATCAGTCTGAAAGGTTGGACTGGTACCACTGGTGCTGGTCCCTGTAGAGTGGATTGGCGTCTCTTTGCGGAGATCTACTTCCGTACCAAAACGCTCCCAATCTCTCAGCTTACAAAGATGAAGCCAGAGGCTGTTGGTGTTGGTAACGTTCCTCCATGTCTTGCTGCATACAGCCAGATAACACAAGTCTTCTAACGACAGAAAACCAATTATCTTCCATAGGATTTCATTTGGCAAGCAGTCGACGGGATTCTGAGATGCTTCAGAATGACAAACGACGTCGGCTTCCTCCCTTTGTTTATCTCCGGCTCCCTGCGCTGACGTCATTTTGAAAGATGCCAGAGTCCTGCAACGACACAGAGATGAATTAAATTTACAATGTATTTAACAAAACATTCAACATGCCAGGTTTCATTATTCACATCGTCAATATATTCACCACACCAGGTTTTATACATATATATGCATTTGTAAAATATAGTTTAATTATCCAGTGGGAAACATCACACCAACTACTTGTTCATTGTGAATCTTGTGTTTCCTTAGATGAACCGAGGAGAGACCAGAGGCACCAGGGGAATCCCTATTACAAGACAAGTGTGTGTTTGTTTTTGCATGCCATGATCTTAGCACAAAGTCACGTTCGACATGTTCGATGGATGTGACTTACTGTTTAATCTCCACACGAAAAAAAGGTGTCATAGACTAGGCGATATTTTAAAAAAAGGGCTCATAAAGGCCAAGAAGAGGCATTTTCGAGTAGGAGTTGGTAACATATTTTACCTAATTTGGAGGTGCTAAATCCGAAAATGATGGTTACCAACAGTGTTGGAGCAAAGGCTTTGACCCTCAAGGCCAAGGCCAAGGCCAAGGCTTTGACCCTCAAGGCCAAGGCCAAGGCCAAGGCTTTGACCCTCGAGCCTCGAGGCCAAGGCCAAGGCTTAACCCTCAAGGCCAAGGCCAAGGCCAAGGCCAAGGCCCTGTTTTATGAAATGACCACTGATATAGAACTAATTTATAGTCACATGAGTGACACATCATCACGCAAGGGCGGATCCAGAACACAATTGGGGGGGGGGGCAAAGAAATTTTGGTCCCCCCCCAGAAAGTGGGTCAAAAAATTACGGCTTGGGCTTCGGGGCCCGCTTAAGGGCCCGAAAAAATTTTGGATTCGAGATGCTCTGTGGTGCGATCTGAGGCAATTTCTGACCACTTTAACCAATGTTTTTTGAGGAAAAGATGGTGGTGTACTCATTGCCTGCCTTTATTACGACGTCACATAAAAAAAAAAATGGTTTCGTTTTTTTTTGTGGGGGGGGGGCGCATGGCCCCTTTTGGCCCCCCTGGATCCGCCCTTATCATCACGAATTGCTTGTTACGAAGAACAACATTTCTTTAATTGCAATCAACATGCTCGCATAGGCCTACACTGTTTTATGACTGCACTGTATCTATTAAAGTTTAAGTTCAGGTCTTCAATATGGTTTAACTAAACAAAATAATGATTTACTTCTATATTGACACACAATTCTCCCAAGTGTAACAAAAGGGGGATCCAAGAAACTGATTTGGGAATGCAAATCTACTACAATGGTAACAAAATGTGATGCTACAAAAGTGGAAGTGTGCCCAACACACAAATCTATAGGGTGCTTCCCTCCTCCATGGTAATACGATTAAAATGGTAACAGCAAAATTTCGAACTGATTTATCTGGAAAATGCAAAAATCTATGGGCCTTGAAGAGCCTTGACTCAAAATTGCAAGGCCCTGAACCCTCAAGGCCAAGGCCAAGGCCAAGGCTTTTGTCCTCAAGCCTCGAGGCCAAGGCCAAGGCCCTAAAATCCAGCCTTAAGGCAGCCTTAAGGCCAAGGCCCAGCATCAAGGCACTACATCACTGGTTACCAAACTGAATTTTTAGTGGAAATATGCCTAATTTTCATAAATCTTTAATACCTGTCGTGTAATATATTTGTTCCCGTATTTGGGTGTATTTTTTATTATTTTATTTTTTGAAAAGTTTATTTTGGTGATTCTACTTACACTTCCTGACTTCAATAACATTTTCTTCAGCATATAAGTGACTGAATGATTACGAGGACATAGTAAAATTCAGAAAATTACTTACTAGCACAGTTAACAAAAATAAACATGACATTATGTGAAAAGTGATGACATCTTGATATTTAGGCCAAAAAGGAAAACGGGGGGGGGGGAATGAGGTGTCCGTAAACTGGGCTAAAAACTAGGCGAAGGGTTGCCTAACGTGGGGGACTTGAACAACTTCAGGAATCCCCCAAAATACAATAAATAATAATAATAATAGTGGGTATTTATAAAGCGCACGTATCCACCAGGACTGGTGCTCAAAGCGCTACATCATTATAACCCCTGCTCATTGGGCATATGAAACATTTCAAATACCATCTCAGCTCCCTGGGGAGTAACAGCTCGATCCAGCCTGTTAGGCGCAAGCAAGATTCAATCACAAATTGAAGTTCATCGAAACTAAGGTTGGACAAGACTACTTGATGATATCTGGAGACAAGGTAAATGCGCGCAACTTAAGTGTGTGATAGTAGCCATTTTGGATTATTACTATGTCCTTATAATCATTCAGTCACTTATATGCTTAAGAAAATGTTATTGAAGTCAGGAAGTGTAAGTAGAATCACCAAAATAAATTTTTCAAAAAATAAAATAATAAAAAGTGTACCCAAATATGGGAACAAATATATTACACGACAGGTATTAAAGATTTATGCAAATTAAGCATATTTCCACTAAAAAATCAGCTTAGTAACCATCATTTTCGGATTCAGCACCTCCAAATTAGGTTAAATAGCTATGTTACCAACTTCTACTCGAAAATGCCTCTTCGTGTAACAATTTTTTTTAAATTGCCTAGTCGATCACGATAAATTCACTCAATACTCATGGTATACAAGTCCAAATCGAACATGATACAGTCTCCCATCCAAGAATGGCTTACAGTCTATTTGGATTAACTTCAGTATTTTTATGATGTACTAAAATGTAAATGGTCATAATTCGCGCATAAACTCAGCCAGTCTGATTTACCATAGGCCATCTGTTGATAAGCTGCAAATACATGTGACCAAAAATCTCAACTCACCCTGACAAACTCATACCTTCTCATTCCGATGTGAAAGAAACAATGCAATTCTCGCACAGAATTGAGTAGTTTTTGAAATACAAATTCATTCTATTTTCAGCCCTGTTGATTATAATGAAATCACTTCCGCAGTGTGAAGTCTAGTCACGAATACGAACACACACACAAAATTATACAAATGCACAACAGGATTCTAACTATAGTCACAAAGTGAACCAAGTAGCTATTGAGGGCGTTGTATGAGTTTGACCTTGTATGTGCACCAAAGCAAATAAATTCCCATAGACACCAGTGTTCAATCCCCATACTTCAAAATTCTACTGAAAATACTCTCACAGGTGTTCACTGTTCAGGCTGCACAGAAAAACGATTATCAACATGTCATCTATCATTTCCTTTTCAATTCTTGGTGGGTTGACCAAGACGACTGATGTTTCAAGAACTGGAATTTGGAATAAGGATCCCTCCACAACATGGCTAAATCAGTAGCGCCTCTTTCGGACCCAATTGCATCCAAAATGCTTAGAATTGGAAGCCCCAAGTCCATATCAGAAGTACAGTGTCATATGTCTTCCATTTAGAAGGACTTGTAAACTCGCCACGATTATTTTTTTTTTACTGAGGACGTGTAAACAAGTTTGGGAAGTATTGTTTGTAGAGTGGCGGTTGACATGGCAGCCAACTACCCACTGTTGTTTATAAGGTTGCAGACCAGTAAATCGGTCCGAAATTGCCTGCGCCGGCCAAATCACGATTTGCATGCCCTCAAAATCTTCAGTATTTGAGCATGCTGTGGGCCATGAACTTGAGGATTTGTAAACAATATGGGTGGAAGCCGTGCACAGGACTGTGAGCTTGTAGTTCCGTTCAATTTGGATGGAATTGCGGCCCTTAAAGCGCTCTATTTTGCAATGGAGTGCAGGCATCGTTTTTCAACATGGCGACTGGCTTCAGGACTATTTTCAGAGGTGATCATCTTCGGATGGCAATTTCTCCTAAAAGTCATTAGTTAACCCCCCCAAAAAAAAAATTGAAAAGAAAATGAAAGATGATGAAATAAGCTTTACTTTGATGTGTGTCTCGAACACCTTGGAGAGTTGTGAGTATTTCCCGAATTTCTGAAGTGGGAGCATTTACCATTGGGGCCTATGGAAGTTTATTTACTGGTCTGCAACCATAAGTGAGGCTGGTAAACGTGGCATGTGTGCCTTGTGTGCATGCCGTGCCTTATAGTTGATGAATGAAGTATATCGATCGGTTGCGCTTTCCATCATGGCCTCTCTCAATCTTCGTGCTCTGAGCGGGTTCTAAAATAAGGAGAAAGAATCCACACTCCCAGCCTGCCTTCGACTGTTGCACAATTCCAAGAAGTAGCGGAAGAAACTCTTTTTCGAACTCTTCATTTTTACTCATTTTTTTTTTTTAAATTTAACACGATTATAATATTTACATCTTTAAGTGCACTGTCACAGGTGATTTTTTTTTATATTACTCTTTGAACCAGAAGTAAAAGGCAGTTAAAAAAATGCAGCTGAATTCAGGGCAGATAAACAGAACATGATGTTCAAAAAGCTGGGGGGTTTTAGATTTAAAGGGCATTTTGTATGAAAAAAACATGCTATTTTATAGACTGATTTCGTGAGCAAATGCTTTATTTCTATATAGAAGTTTTTAACACAGCTAATTTACCTAATTTGTGGATGTTAAATCTGTAAATGTTGGATACTTAGCTAAATTCTAAGCTTAACGTGACATTTCCGTCAATAAAACGATCAATAAATAAAGCCATTACTTTTTAAACTCTAACATTTTAAAAGGTTTTAACTGATTTGATTTCCAGATGCCGAAAACAACCGAATATAACTCTAACCCCCAAAACAGGCAGCAAACGGGTTTGTTGATTTTTACTGTTGTATTTGTTTTACTGAGGTGGTATGCTCCTACATGTACATTTTTAAATGTACTGTCCGATTTTCTTGTGTATTACTCGAACCATTCAGCAGAGGATTTGCAAAAGGCAGTAACAAACAAAACTTAGGGCAGATGAATGTGAAGATGATGTATAAAGAGCTATTAAGATTAAAGATTAAAGGGCAACATTGTACGGGGAAAGCATTTTTTTTTATAATTGACTGCTTTTAGGAGTTCGGCTTTAGTTTTGTCAGTTAAATACAATCTGTAGTGATTTCATT